ATAAATATTGGGACATCGACACAATTCTACAATTTTGGGCTCTATACACCACCACAATGGATTTGAAATGAAACTAACAAGATGTGCTTTAACTGCAGACTGTCAGCTTTAATTTGAGGGTATTTACATCCAAATCAGGTGAACGGTGTAGGAATTACAACAGTTTGCATATGTGCCTCCCACTTGTTAAGGTCCCAAAAGTAATGGGACAATTGGCTTCTCAGCTGTTCCATGGCCAGGTGTGTGTTATTCCCTCATTATCCCAATTACAATGAGCAGATAAAAGGTCCAGAGTTCATGTCAAGTGTGCTATTTGCATTTGGAATCTGTTGCTGTCAACTCTCAAGATGAGATCCAAAGAGCTTTCACTATCAGTGAAGCAAGCCATCATTAGGCTGAAAAAACAAAACAAACCCATCAGAGAGATAGCAAAAACATTAGGCGTGGCCAAAACAACTGTTTGGAACATTCTTAAAAAGAAGGAACGCATTGGTGAGCTCAGCAACACCAAAAGACCCGGAAGACCACGGAAAGCAACTGTGGTGGATGACAGAAGAATTCTTTCCCTGGTGAAGAAAACACCCTTCACAACAGTTGGCCAGATCAAGAACACTCTCCAGGAGGTAGGTGTATGTGTGTCAAAGTCAATAATCAAGAGAAGACTTCACCAGAGTGAATACAGAGGGTTCACCACAAGATGTAAACCATTGGTGAGCCTCAAAAACAGGAAGGCCAGATTAGAGTTTGCCAAATGACATCTAAAAAGCCTTCACAGTTCTGGAACAACATCCTATGGACAGATGAGACCAAGATCAACTTGTACCAGAGTGATGAGAAGAGTATAGAGAAGGAAAGGAACTGCTCATGATCCTAAGCATACCACCTCATCAGTGAAGCATGGTGATGGTAGTGTCATGGCGTGGGCATGTATGGCTGCCAATGGAACTGGTTCTTTTGTATTTATTGATGATGTGACTGCTCACAAAAGCAGCAGGATGAATTCTGAAGTGTTTCGGGCCATATTATCTGCTCATATTCAGCCAAATGCTTCAGAACTCATTGGACGCCTCTTCACAGTGCAGATGGACAATGACCCAAAGCATACTGCAAAAGCAACCAAAGAGTTTTCTAAGGGAAAGAAGTGGAATGTTATGCGATGGCCAAGTCAATCACCTAACCTGAATCCGACTGAGCATGCATTTCACTTGCTGAAGGGAAAATGCCCCAAGAACAAGCAGGAACTGAAGACAGTTGCAGTAGAGGCCTGGCAGAGCATCACCAGGGATGAAACCCCAACATCTGGTGACGTCTATGCGTTCCAGACTTCAGGCTGTAATTGACTGCAAAGGATTTTCAACCAAGTATTTAAAAAGTGAAAGTTGGATTTATGATTATTGTTCTGTCCCATTACTTTTGGTCCCTTAACAAGTGGGAGGCACGTATGCAAACTGTTGTAATTCCTACACCGTTCACCTGATTTGGATGTAAATACCCTCAAATTAAAGCTGACAGTCTGCAGTTAAAGCACATCTTGTTCATTTCATTTCAAATCCATTGTGGTGGTGTATAGAGCCAAAAATGTTAGAATTGTGTCGATGTCCCAATATTTATGGACCTGACTGTATATTGATAGCTTCTGACTGTGAGCTACATCCCTGATATCCACCCAGCAAAAGAAAATTCTGTACAATCTTTCACCACTAGAGCGAAGGGCTATACACGATTTGCACAATAATCAGGCCATCACCATCAAACCAGCGGATAAAGGAGGAGCAGTTGTTGTGATGGATACAAACAAATACATACAAGAAGGCCAGAGGCAGCTGGAAAATGCCATCTACTATAAAAAAACTGGATTATGATCCGACCCAGGACTTTACAAAGCAATTAAAAGGTCTCATTAAAACACTTCCAGCCCACCTACATTCAGAACTTATAAATGCGATTCCGGATCATCCAGAAATCGGGGACTTCTACATGCTACCCAAAGTCCACAAGCCAGGAAATGCAGGCAGACCCATCATAACAGGTATGAATACACTCACCAAACAAATCTCAGGCTTTGTAGAAAAAAATGTAAAACCGTTAGTCAAGAATACTGCTAGTTTCCTGCAAGACACAACTGACTTTCTGAACAAGATCAACAACATACAGCAATTACCATCTAATACACCTCTAGTGACTATGGATGTAGTATCCCTGTATAGTAATATCCCTCACAAGGATGGATTAGCTGCATGTCACAGATCCTTATCATCCTCAACAAACCACAAATACACTGCTGAGGATGTTACACAGTTCATTGAATTCATACTTACACACAACTACTGTACTTTCAATAAAGACATCTATCGTCAATGTATGGGCACTGCGATGGGAAGTAAAATGGCACCTCAATATGCCAATTTATTTATGGCTGACCTGGAGGAAAGATTCCTGAACAGCATGGAACAAAAGCCATACAGATACTATCACTATATTGATGATATTTTCATCATATGGACAGAACGTGAAGAAAACCTAAAACAATTTTACTCATTGATCAACACTTTTCATCCATCAATCAAACTAAAAATGGAATACTCAAACACACACGTCAACTTCCTAGACACCACAGTATACATCAAGGATGATATGCTTCACACCTCAATATACAGGAAACCCACTGACAGATGCAACTACCTCCACAGTTCTAGCTTCCACCCCCAACACACAAAACGTGCCATCATACACAGGCCATTAGATACCACTGAATGTGCTCTGACCCAAGAGACAGAGATAAACATCTCGGGACACTAGCAGACTCCTTCCATAAGAAAGGTTACAAGGACAAAACTATCAACACCAGCACAAACACAGCCTTGAGAACCCGAAGAGAAAATCTACTTCAGTACAAGGAGAAAAAAACAAACAACCGTGTACCTCTAGTAACCACATACAACCCAGCACTAGAAGGAATAAGAAAAATAATCAAAGATTTACAACCCATCATAACAGAGGATGGAACTCTGAAATAAATATTCCAGCAACCCCCAATACTGGCCTTCAGACAACCCCCCAACCTCAGAAATAAACTAATCAGTAGGAAACTTCCTTCTGTTTAAAATGTCACAAATGGAAGCACACCCTGCAATAAGAAATGCTGCAAACTGTGCAACCAAATCAATCCATCAAAAAGTCAGACACTCAAAAGGGATCTTCAATATCTCCGGATCATACAGCTGCACCTCCAGTAATGTGTGTACCTTATCCAGTGCAGAAAATGCAGCAAAGGATCTTATGTTGGCGAAACAGGACAGAAGTTGCAAACAAGGATGAATTTGCACAGACCTATCATCAAGGAACATAAAGAGGATGACTTTTGCACACCTGTGGGACACCATTTCGCACAACCAGACCACACTATGGAAGTCCTCAATATTTTAGTTCTTAAAGGAGATTTCAAATCTATTCAGGAAAGGAAAACTTTTGAACTAAAAATGATAATTCTATTTGACACAAGAGATAACGGCCTGAATTTGGACATGGGATTCCTCACTCATTATCCTACAGTTTTACGACACCCTCTGTGAGTGTTGTCCCCCCCCCCCCCCCCCCCAGTCTTTGCTTTTGCTGTGTCTTATCTTCAGTCTAATCCTAGTCTTATAACCATTGCTGTGTACATCTGTTTGTGTGTGTTCCTTTCTGGGGGGTTTTTTCCCTCCCCCTTTCAACATCTCTCCTAACATTCTGCTAAAACTTTGTAGTAGTTCTGCCTGGACCTTGAAGAAGGGGACATACCCCGAAAGCTTGTCCTCAAAATTGTATGTTAGTGCAAATAAAAAAAGTATCACGTCAGTACTCAATTGTTTCTGTTCTATTCGATTCAAATTTCGGAAGACAGTTCTATTCTGTTCTATTGTTTTTTTATATTCTATTCAAAATTCTATTTTATTTTATTCTATTTTTCTTTTCTATTAATATTTCGGAATAGTTATATTCTATTAAATTTTTTTTGTTATATTCTATTCTTTTATATTGTATTCTATAGTTTTTCTATTCTAATCGATTTTATTCTTTTCTAATTCTATTTGAATTGCGTCCAAATTTTGTTTCATTATTTCAGATTCATTACTATTGTAATTCGAAAAATCAGAGACGTCTGAATAACGAAAAATTCATCCGCATTCGAATTCAAACCGCACATGTCTAGTGTGCAGAAATCATCTTCCTGATGCTTTCTCATGGTGTATTTGTGTACATTTCTGGCCTGCCTGGCCAACCTAAGATTCTTGGTTGCATTTTTTGCTTTGGATTATTGGAGCTATAGTTGTTTCATCCTGTAATATTGAAGGTCCATTTTGTGTGGACAGTTTTTAATGGATTGATTTTGCTGCACAGTTGGCAATGTTTTTGTTGCAAGGCTTGACTCCTTTATTTGGAACTTCATAACCAGAGTGTAATTTCCTTCTGATTAGTTTCTGTGTGAGATTGGGTGGTTACCTGAAAGTCAGCATTGGGGGTTGTTGCAATATTTATTTCAGCAGTTCAGTCTGTGGAGACAAATATACCAAAATCTGCCTTTTAAAAGTACTCAGGTCTGAACAAGCACCATTTAAATTACTGGGATTTTTAATGTCGTGTATTTGTAGTTTCAAGCAGGTGTGAATGGGGCCTTAGTGTACACATGATATCAACAATCCTTGGTTGCTGTACTACCCTGACACAGATATAGATAGCTGGATTGATTCATCGATTAGAAGGTGCCCCTAAGCATTCTTGTATGAGATACTTTGGTGGGAAAAAAGAACAGCAATCCTATGAACTATGAAAAAAATATCTCCTAGCTACATGTTTCTTCACGTACTCAAAATCACTGTTTGCTGAAAAATAATTAAGGGAAGCATTTTAAAACTTCATTCCTTCAGATGCTAAAATAAAGCCATAGTTTGATACTGTACATGATCTAAATCGTATTATACATTGACGAATGTATTGTTAATCCCAGTTATCTTTTGCAGTAATGCCTTCTCGAGACACATCCTGGACATGAAAGAATGACACCAACCAGCAATCAACCTTATTATGTTTGAGACATTGCAACTGTATAAATGGAATTACAATTATATGTAAAATATATATCTATATAAATATGTATATATAGCAGTTTATAATATTTTGTATTATAAATTTCTTTTTATACCTGTATATAACTTGGAAGTTTAAAATGTGCACAAATTAGAGGTGGGAATGTTTATTTTCAAATTAAATGAAGCGTATGTATTCTATGACAGATGAAATACAGTTTTCATATATCTTGAAAAAAATATTAAATAAAAACATTTGTACTGTTTATTGGTTTGGAGGTTTTTTTGTAATGAGGATTTCTTAACTCCCAGGGGAAATTTAGGGACTACGCATACTGGCTTAAAAAAATACTGCTCCTGGAGGTGCTTAGCATTTTGCCTGTAGAAGCAGCTAATGTGATCCTATGTGTCTGTGCACATTAGGCCATTTAGAGGCATATTTTAAGTTCCACATTTAGAGGCAGGAAAAAAAACACCTGTTTTGTATTTTTTTCTGCAAAGAGTGATGGCGATTTTTTTTTTTTTTTTTTTGTTTTTGTTTTGTTTTGTTTTTTTATTAAGCCAGTGTGCATGGACCTTAAAACCTAGATGCCGAGACCAAATTTAGCATCCGCATGTACACTGTTTAAAAAAATGAAAGGAACACTCCTGGAATATTGATCTAGTCAGTTAAGTAGCAGAGGTGGTTGTTGATCAGTTTCAGCTGCTTTGGTGTTAATGAAATTAACAGGTGCACTAGATGGGCAACAATGAGACAACCCCCATAATAGGAATGATTTTACAGGTGGAGGCCACTGCCATTTTTTTCCCTGCTCATCTTTTCTTACTAATTTTTTTTTTTTACTTGTTATGTTACCGGTAGTGACACTGACCCTCGCCGAATGCAAGAGGCCATACCTAGACCCCACAGAGGTTGCACAGGCAGTCCAACTCCTCCAGGATGTCACATCAATACGTGCCATTGCCAGAAGGTTTGCTGTGTCTCCCAGCACAGTCTCAAGAGCATGGAGGAGATTCCAGGAGACAGTTACTCTAGAGGAGCTGTACAAGGCCATAGAAGGTCCTTAACTCATCAGCAGGACCGGTATCTGCTCCTTCATGCAAGGAGGAACAGGATGAGCACTGCCAGAGCCCTACAAAATGACCTCCAGCAGGCCACTGGTGTAAAATGTCTCTGACCAAACAATCACAACCAGACTTCATGAGGGTGGGCTGAGGGCCCAAGGACCTCTAGTGGAGGTCACTGCCCGGCACCATAGAGCTCGATTGGCATTTGATATTGAGCACCAGAATTGGCAGGTCCACCGCTGGCGCCCTGTGCTTTTCACAAATGAGAGCAGGTTCACCCTGAGCATGTGACAGATGTGAAAGGGTCTGGAGAAGCCATGGAGAATGTTATGCTGCCTGTAACATCATTCAATATGACCATTTTGGTGGTGGGTCAGTGATGATCTGGGAAGGCATATCCATGGAGGGACGCACAGACCTCTACAGGCTAGACAATGGCACCCTGACTGCCATTAGGTATCGGGATGATACGCTGGTGCACGACAATGCCCAGTCTCATGTAGCGAGAGTATGCCAGGCCGTTCCTGGAGGATGAAGGAATTGATACCATTGAATGGCCCCCATGCTTACCTTGTCTAAATCCAATAGAACACCTCTTGGATATCATATTTCTGTTCCATCTGACTCCACCAGGTTGCACCTCAGACTGTCCAGGAGCTCAGTGATGCCCTGGTCCAGATCTGGGAGGAAATACCCCAGGACACCATCCATCATCTCATTAGGAGTATGCCCGGATGTTGTCAGGCAGCATACAAGGATGTGGGGGCCATACAAACTACTGAGTACGATTTTGAGTTGCTGCAATGAAATTTCAGCAAAATGGACTAGCCTGCTGCATCATTTTTATACTTTGATAGAAATGAAAATTATCAACCCACAGAGGACTGAATTCAAAGACATCCTGAAAATCAAACGATGGGGCATCCTTACATTCCTAACACATTACCCAGTCCATATCACTATAGATATCCAGCATGAGATTTTTCCCCATTGAGAGCTGATGTGTTTTCAAAGTGTTCCTTTAATTTTTTTTGAGCAGTGTATATTGTACATTAACTTGATAATATCTCTATAACGAATGTTCCTACCTAAATAATTTTAAAATTTATGTAGGGATGTATATGGCTTTTATTCCATTTTTTTTTTTTTATACATTTTCAGGTTTTTATTGTTGTCTGGCTTTGCTTTACTGCAGTGTTGGTAGGTTGCAGTGCAATTCATTTAGAATAGCACACAACTACAATTTTTTTTTTTGTCTAGTGCAATGGCAGCCAAATCTAAACTGAGCTGCACTAATGTGAGTTTATGCCACAGGAGCCGGAGACAGCCACTCGCTATCAAAGCAACTATCTCCTTTCTTGATGTGATGTCAGGCAGCTGTGTGCCAAGGAGGATTGTATTGTCCAACATCATAGCTAACATTACTGGGCACCTCGGAAGATGGGACAAGTACTACATGTACATCAGGATCTAATGTAAAGAAAACGTGATAATTCTTCTTTAATCTAATTACCTAACTACCCCAATTATTAAATGAAATGAAATGTGTGACAAATCCCCATGTTAGTGTCCCCACTGGGCAGATTCACTCTTACCACCACTCCAGGTGACTACTGTCTCCAGTACAAAAAGAGAGGAGAAATCCAACATTTTTCTTCTTATGGGGAAGGGTTTGCTTTACCTGAACCTTTAATCAAGATCATTATAGTAGGAGATGATTATGCAACTGCTAAAGGAAAAACTAAAGACTTAACAGATTTACGTAAGCATACACTATACAATATCTGACAGCCACAAATCAGGCATGCTAACTATACTTAGGGAACAATTTTTTAAATCTGTTTTTGAAATATGAAAATCAAATTATGAAAAATATGTAAAGGTAATTATGAATAAAACTAAGTAACTGAAAACAAACCTACATTACAAAAACTGAAAAAACATACTTAAAGTCCACGCTTAGTTACATTAAGAAAAATCAGCACAATGAATGAGAGTTAGGTTGTCTCTTGTGCAGGTGGTTTATGTCCTAGCTGAAATGTTACATTCTCTTGCCACACCTTCACACGGGTGATCTTCCAGTGTTGCGGAGGTTGAAATAGCCATTTTAGATACTCGTCAAGAATGCAAACTATGTCTGTCCTATCCACCCCCCTCCTCCATTCATAGAAGCTGTACTTCAGCTGTAAGCAATGAAAAGCACTGTATGAATGATGGACAGATGAATGATAGGTCTGCCTCCTCCATTCATAGAGAGCTTTTCATTGCTGGAAAGCACAATTATCAAAAGAAGAGAGGGGTGGAAAAGCCAGGCATAGTCAGCACTCTTGACAAGTGCCTGTGAAAGATCCAACAAATGTAATAACCCAACAACACCAAAAGATCACTGCTAAAGCCCCATACACACAATCAGAAAATCGTACGAAAATTGCTGCTTTCAAAGTGATCGTATGGTAATCTGCTTGTTAATACACAGCTTTCACCCGAAATTACTCAAAGGGACAAGCACAAACATTTTTCCCATGATACCAGATTGTACAATTTTTGTTTAACCAGTACAGTTTTCGACGGAAAATACATTACATCACTTCTGAATTTTCCTCTCGTACAAGAATGTTCATACCTTTAGTAACCTCTTCACTTTCGATATGAGACTAGCATACAAAAATAAACAGATTATCATTCATCCAATATTCTCAACGTGTGTGTGTGTAGGCGTGCTCAGAAGATGGAAGATTTTAACAAGAGCAGCCACAAGTACAAGGAAGACTTCTCATTAACTACTTGCCGACCGCAGATAGCCGAATGACGGCTGCACTGCGGCCGGCCAGTTGTGGGTGGACGTCATATGACGTCCTCCCAGAACGCGCTCTCCTGCGCGCCCCGGCGATCTCCTTGATCGCTGTGTCCTACAGACACAGCTGATCACGTGACGTGGTAAAAGGCCAATCACAGCGGCCTTTTACCACGTGATCAGCCGTGTCCAATGACACGTTGATCACCGGGAAATGCAAATGCCGGTTCTCGGCTGCACTTTCCTCACGCTGTCAGATCGTGAGGAAAGTACTGCCGAAAACCGGCAGTTGTCAGAGCAGGGATCGGCATCGATCATCCGGGTCACTGATCATCGGTGCCCAGCAGTGCCACACACAAGTGCCACCTACCTGTGCCCAGTAGTGCCACCCACCAGTGCCGCCCAACAGTGCCCATCAGTGCAGCCCAGCAGTGCTGCCAGTCAGTGCCACCAGTCAGTGCCCAGCAGTTGTGCCAGTCAGTGCCCAGCAGTCAGTGCCACCTATCAGTGATGTCAGTCAGTACCCATTATAAGTGTCGCCTATCAGTGCCACCTATCCGTGACACCTCATTAGTGCTGCCTATCAATGCTGCCTATCCGTGCCACCTCATTAGTGCCACCTATCGGTGCTGCCTATCAGTGCTCATCAGTGCTGCCTCATCAATGCACATCAGTGAAGGAGAAAAATTACCTGTTTGAAAAATTTTATAATAGAAACAAAGAAACTTTTTTTTTTTTTCAAAATTTTTTTGCACTTTTTTTGCTTATAGCACAAAAAGTAAAGTGCCCAGTGGCGATTAAATACCACCAAAAGAAAGCTCTATTTGTCAGAAAAAAAAATTATAAAAATTTCATATGGGTACAATTTTGCATGACCACGCAATTGTCAATCAAAGTGAGACAGAGCTGAAAATTGGCCTGGTAAATTAGGGGGTATAAGTGCCCGGTAGGCAAGTGGTTAAGGCTCATTTAGATGGGCAATGCAAGGAGGACTGGCCTTTTTACCCATCTGAATGAACCCAAAATGTAAGTACCATCCCTTGTGCTGTGTTTTTTTTTTTTGTAATATTATTATTATTATTATTACTACGAGTTTATATAGCG